TAATTATTAGGGCCCCTGCATTACCTTGACTTGCCTGAAGGGTAAGATCTTTCTCAGAGAATCTCCCAACTTCAACAGAAGTCCTGGTGTTTTGGAACTCCCAGCTTGTACTGCCTGGTGTGGCTGAGAGGATGGTTCCTATAGTCTCCATTGCAGTTCCTTATTGGGGATGTCTTATACAATCCTAATATAATTGGTTAAACCAACAGAAGGAACTACAATGGAGTCTACAGGTTCCTTCAAATCCAAACAGACTCCTAAACCCTGAGCCGATGCCCCCCCAAGGCCCTCCCGAACTCAGATTCCGCTGAGTCTCCGAGCTGCAGGAAGCCACGCCTCCGAAACCCCTTAGCCCCCCGAAGCACCTAATCCCTAAACCGCAAACACTAATCCCTAAACCATAATCCCTTGAAAAAAAAACCTACTCCCTGAACCCGAATCCCACTTAACAAGAGCCCTGAACCCTAATCCCTAAGCCCTAGAAGCCCTAAATAAACCTCTCCGCCCTGAAACCCTGAAGCCCTTCAACCCTGCTTGGAGCATCATGGGACTTAGTAAGTAAGGTTATAAGTTTAGGGTTTAGGGTTTAGGGTTTAGGATCATGGGACTTAGTAAGTAAGGTTATAAGTCCCTTAATTTGGGGTTATAAGTAAATATAAGTATAGTTACCTTAATTACAACCCTACTTACTAAGTCCCATGATCCTTTAAGTGGTCCCCCTTAGTCAGAGGGTGGCTCTTGAGGCCCCGGTCTTCCAGTAGCCTTGGTCTTCCTTTTTCCTAAGGCTCCATGCTCCCCACGTCGTACATACTTTTTGGGATTTAGGGACTAGGGTTTAGGATTTGGGATAGTACATACTTTTACTTTAAGCGGAAGTTTGTAGGAACCCCTTTCAGCCCCAGGTATCTACAGTACCACTCCTTCTTTCCGGCCTTGCATCTACGGCCCGAGAGTCCTTCCCTGATCCCTCGCTGCTTCTCGTCTGCCCATGAGAGACGCGCCCCGAGCATGACATCCATCGGAGCATGGCGTCCAGACCTGAGGTGCTCGGTTTGGGGTTAAGGGTTTTGTAGGGGGTTTAGGGCTTTAGGGGTTTAGGATTTAGGGTTCAGGGTTTAGGGTCTAGGGGGGGAGCCCGAGTGGTAGGCGTAGGCCTTAGCTTTTTATCTGTAGGGTGCTATGGGCTTTCTGGAACGTTTCTTTAAGGGTTCTATCAAGGTTTTAGGTTTCATCCGGGTCCCTTGCTTCATTTAGAAGAATTTTGCAGATGAGCAGCTAGTTTTCATGTAAGAGGCTACTGGGGAAGCTACCCATAGGCCCCATAGTAGTTCCTTTTTGGGCCTCATATTTAAAATCCTATAAGGTAATCCCAAAAAGGAACTACTATGGGGCCTATGGGTAGGTTCAGCCACGTGGACATCGTCGTGGAGGACCTCCACGCCTTCCTCAGCACCTGGTGTCCTCGTTTGGGCTTCGTGGCCTCCCAGGTTCAGACCTGGGGTGGTCCTGAGGAGCCCACCTTGCGGTTTAGGGAGTATATATTTAGTTAAAATCACTAAACTATATCGGTTATACTTACTTAAAATCATTAAACTATATCGGTTATATTTAGTTAAAATCACTAAACTCTAGAGGGTTTAGTGATTTTATAACTTGTAACCCTAAACCCTAAACCCTCCCCAAGCTGCCCTGGAGCCGGAGCCTCTGCCGTCTCCTGAGGAGCCCACTTGGACGGAGTATGCCAGTGTTTTTGACCCGAACGGCCAGCTGATCTTCATGGCCGTCGAGGGGAAGAAGGGGGCCCACGTAGAGCTGCTGAGGAAGTATGGCTCCGGATCAATCTACCGACTCTGCTTTAAGACTGACAACCTGGAGGCCTGCTTTGGCCACCTCGAAGCTGCTGGGACCAAGGCGACCAACTTGGAAGGTGTTCCTTTCAATTCCTTTCGAGATGTCATGAATAGTGGCAAGCGCATTCTGTGGCTGGAGAGAGAAGGCGAGCTCTCGATGGAAATTCTCACCGCGCCGATTATTGATGCTGGGTGTGCGAAACTGAAGCGAGAAGTGGGCTTCGAATCAAATCAGCTATCTGCGTGGCAGCGGGGCTTTTGTGCCGCGACTGCTCTGGGTGCAGCGTTCATTGTTGGAGTTTTTTGTGGCAGAGCCTCTATGCGGTGATGTGCTGTTCAGGAAAGCTTGCTCGCTCAGATTCAACCAAGTCGTCTCTGTTCAGTGACACCGAAGTTCCTGACACGCTGTGAAGTGATTGGACCTGACTGTTGCTGGATGTGCTACGCTGCTACACGGTCGGGTAGGCTCACAGCAGGAACGGTCGAAATGAGGCCGTTGCGGCCAGGGCCTGAATTCTGAATACACTTTCGGCAGCGCATGCTTGGCATACATAGCTGCAGGGACACCCCGAGAGACGAAAGGTTGCAGATCGCGTGACAGAACCAGACCTCACTCTGGGTTAATTTCGTTTTGACATGAGGGTAGTTCTCTAAATTAGGGTCCCTTTTTGGGTCCCCAATATAGTACGGCACCCTTATAAAAAAGGACCCTAAGAGGGACCCTAATTTAGAAATCTGCCCATGAACGGTGTCCTAAGTGCCCTGATTATCTCCGTAGCCTCTCTTGGTATCGGTGGCCACGACCTCGGCAGCAGCTGGTCGGTAAGCTGGGACTCAAGGATTTCATGCTTAGTCTCTTATAAACTTATAAGCACCATACATCCTAAACCCCAAACCAGAGCCCTACAGTGCCTTTATAAGGAAACCCTAAATCCTATTGCCTTCGACTTCAATCTCCTTTATAAACCCTATACATGAATCCTACTCCTGTTTCGGTTTCAGCAGTTGTAAAGTCTCTCTGGATTTCGAGGTAGACACCTGCACGATTGCATTAAGCATTCAAAGTTGGCCGAATCGAAGCCACGTGGGACAGGAGACTGAAGTCATGAAGAAGTGCGTTGCGGAATTGATGCAGCGCTTTGCTGCCGGGAGCCCTGATTCATGGACAGACTCTCTCCACCGTTTGATGCGTCAACCCCATGCCAACCCAGGCCTCCGCAGGCAGCATTTGTAGCCACAACCTCTCAGAACATCCATGCAAGAGCCAATCCCCAATGTACGGCCTGCTTGCACTTTCACGTTGAGTAGTTTTGATGCACAGCAGGTGGGAGCTTGCGAATACTAGGGATCGCTGACGTGCACTGAATATGCAGAAGGCTGAGCTTTATTTCCTGAGAGAACCCCTAAACCCTAAACCCCTAAGCCCCTAAACCCAAAACCCCTAAACCCTAAACCCTAAGCCCCTATAAACCCTAAACCCCTAAGCCCCTAAACCCTAAACCCCCAAGCCCCTAAACCCTAAATCCTAAACCCCAAACCCCTAAACCCTAAACCCCTAAGCCCCTAAACCCTAAACCCTACACCCCCAAGCCCCTAAACCCTAAACCCTACACCCCCAAGCCCCTAAACCCTAAGCCCTACACCCCCAAGCCCCTAAGCCCTAAACCCTGCTACAGAGAGGAGCCTCACAGTCTCTGCAGAAGGATCAGGGGGTTTAGGGGTTTAGGGGTTACTGTAGGGTCTAGGGTTTAGGGGTTTAGGGGTTTAGGGGTGTAGGGGTTTAGGGGTTTAGGGGTTTAGGGGCTTAGGGGTTTAGGGGCTTAGGGGGTTAGGGGTTTAGGGT